TATTTTGTGTGTGGGGGGGTTCTTAAACAAATAGTAGTTAAGTGCTTCGGGCGCAAAGGATTTTCAAAGCCGGACAAGAGGACCACCCCCTTCACAACCCTAAACCCTAAACCCTAAGCCCTAAGCCCTAAGCCCTAAGCCCTAAGCCCTAAGCCCTAAGCCCTAAGCCCTAAGCCCTAAGCCCTAAGCCCTAAGCCCTAAGCCCTAAGCCCTAAGCCCTAAGCCCTCGACTCGACCCTCGAGCCCGGTGACGCTCAGGCTAGTGCTGCCGGCATCCAACGAGGACTTCCTACAGTGAAGGGGCGCCCTGGTGAGCTCTCAGCATTTTGTAGTTTAGGGTTCAGGGTTTTAGGGTTTAGGGTTTAGGGTTTTGGGTTTAGGGTTTAGGGTTTAGGGTTTAGGGTTTGCTGGGTTTGCTGGGTTTGCTGGGTTTGCTGGGTTTGCTGGGTTTAAGATTTAGAGGCATCAGGTCCCTAAACCCTAGAAACCCTAGAAACCCTAAACCCGGGGCGCAAAGAAGACTTGTGGGTTCTCAGGGCTTCGGGCTCCCTGAGCCCTGACATACTTTAGGGTTTCGGAGTTAGGGTTTAGGGTTGAGGGTGAAGGGTGTAGGGTTTAGGGTTTTGGGTTTTGAGTTTAGGGGTCCAGGACAGGGTTTAGGGCCCCTGAACCCTGAACATCTGCGCGCCGATTTATAGTTGTTGAGGCCATGGCGTTTCATCATGTGAGTTCCTGAGGGGGAAATTTTGGGAATATGTTTTTTTATATAACCTTTATGGGATGATTTTGGGCGCCCACTTCCCCAAATTCCCTCCTCCTGAGAGAGGGATGGTACACAAGGACGTGAAGCGCGAACCTATGGCCATGCGGTTGGGTTTAGGGTTTGGGTTTAGGGTTTAGATTTTAGGGTTTAGGGTTTAGGGTCCCTTAAGCCACGCGCATCGGCCCAAACCTCGAAAAGACGAGGTCGTTTGTTGCCCTTGCGGTGCCGTGAGGTCACCCTAAACCCTAAACCCAAAACCCAAATTCTCAACCCTAAACCCTAAACAAAAGGGACCCCAAGCCGGACAGCCCAAACTGAGCGGAAACCCTAAGCCCAAAATCCCTGAGCCTGAGGGCTCAATAAGGGGTTTAGGGTCTAGGGTTTAGGGTTTAGAATTTAGGGTGTAAGGTTTTTTTCAAGAAGAAGCCCAACACCAAAACGCTTCAGCCTGACAAGCCGAAACGCCCGGTGCTAACACCCTAATTCGAAAAACTAAAGGCAGCTTGTTTGAACCTCGAACTCCCCCGAGCCGCTTTGCCCTAAAACCCCTCAAGGGTTTAGGGTTTCTAGGGTTTAGGGTTTCTGTAGGGTTTAGGGTTTCTATAGGGTTTAGGGTTTAGGGTTTCTAAGGTTTAGACTTTAGGGCCTCAAAACCCCAAACCCTCAAGCTCCATCTTCCCGTGCCCCCGCAAGGCTTGTTTGCGGTGCCGCAGCCTCCCTGTCGGCAGACGCCCGAAAGATCCGGCCAGCGAAAAAGGGTTTCCTTGTTTTGGGGTTTTTAGGGTTCAGGGTTTGGGGTGTTTAGGGTTTAGGGTTTAGGGTTTAGGGTTTAGGGTTTAGGGTTTAGGGTTGCAAGCTCTGTAGTGTGTTGTAAGTGTTTATGCCGTGCTTATGTTGGCTTCAGGGTTTTGTATAGGCTCGGTGTTTGGGGTTTATAAAGGGTTCAGGGCTCATAAAGACGCAGGGTGTGGGAGGTTTTGTGAACTTTCGCGCAGTTAGCGGTCCAATCCCGCCACCCTTACCCAAGACGCCCACCCACCATACCTAAAATGTGTGCCATATACCCTATACTACTGTAATCCCCATGAAGGTATATGAACCATAAGCCCTTCTAGGTCTCTTTTGGTCCCCAAGGTCAGGGAGGGGGGTTCAAGGGGGGGTATGTCACCCAAGGCTCCCTAATACTCCCTAAGGCTCCCAAAGCTTCCTCAAGGTTTCCTGGGCACCTACCCCCCATGAAGCCCCCGTCCCTTAAGAACCCCATAACAATGACATTGTCCGAGACGACACATGCCGACTCCCTTCCTTTCTCATCAGGCGACCATTTCACAAAAGCCAGCTTGCTGTCTAGGGTTCAGTGGTTTCGCGTGTAGGATTCAGGCTTTATGGAGTTGGCGAAGCGGTGTAGAGGTGCTAAGTGTTGAACACTCGCAAGTTGGCAATGCTCGAGTTGCTGCTGGCTACAGGCGGGGGTTTCCTCGCTGGCGCTGGATGTGTCTTCTTTCTTGCTGGCCAGGCCTATGACACAACAGCGGTTGAGGCGTGCTGCTCCGACCAACAAACTGCAAGCATGTTTTCCCTGCAGCTGACTCACACACATCCAGAGAGTTGACCAACACAAACAGAAACAAACGAGAAAACAATCACTCAACCAATCAACCAACAAAGATCAATCAACTACACGCACGCGCGGACCCACCCATCCCGCCCCACGAAACCCTGCCCCACCCCACCAAACCCCCTACGCCACCCTGACAAACCCTGCTACCCCACCCACCAACCCCCCCCTACCCCACCCCATCAAACCCCCCTACCCCATGCATGCATGCGTGCATGCACACACACACACACACACACACACACACACACACACACACACACACACACACACACACACACACACACACACACACACACACACACACACACACACACACACACACACACACACACACACACACACACACACACACACACACACACACACACACACACACACACACACACACACACACACACACACACACACACACACACACACCCCCACACACACACACACACACACACACACACACACACACACACACACACACACACACACACACACACACACACACACACACACACACACACGCACACACACACACACAGCACACACACACACACACACACACACACACACACACACACACACACACACACACACACACACACACACACACACACACACACACACACACACACACACACACACACACACACACACACACACACACACACACACACACACACGCACACAGACACCCGCACACATGCGCGCACACACACACACACACACGCACAACAGGTACTGCGCTTGCTTCTTCACAAGTTGCAGCAGAAGTCGCAGAAGGTGCCGACACCTGCCGCAGGACTTCCCAATGACCTCACAGTTGCCTGTAAGCAGCACAAAGAGTGGATGCCTGAAGAAATTTGGTTGCTGCGGCACGAGTTACACTGCCAGCCACGACGGGACCAGTGCAAGCTGATCTTTCTCGGTGACTCCATTACAGAGGGATGGCTTGGTACCGGACTGGAAATTTGGAGAGACATGTATGTCAAGCCTTATGGTGCTGTCAACTTGGGTATCGGTGGCGATGAGGTCCAGCATGTACTTTGGAGAGTTCAGAACGGCGCGGTTGATTTCGTCAATCCAAAGGTTGTGGTTCTGCTAATTGGTACTAACAACATCGGCAACAGTGGCCACGACCCGACCCAGGTGGCAGACGGGATCCGCAAACTCTTGCAAGAGCTGTCAGCAAGACTTCCCCAAAGTCGTATACTTTTGCTTGGCGTGTTTCCACGCGATGAGTTCTCAACAACACCTTTCCGCTCGGCAGTTGAAAAGTTGAACGTTCTTATCCGAAGCTGTGGAGACGGTGAGCGGATCATGTTCCTCGACATCAGCAAGAAGTTTTTGTTGCCTGATGGCAAAATCTCAGCTGAGGTAATGCCTGATTTCTTGCATCTCTCGTTTGAGGCATACAGAATCTGGGCTGATGCAATGCAGCCTCTACTTACCTCCTTGATGACCTGAAGGGCTCGGCAACCGACTGTTGCTTGGCGCAACCTCGTATCTTTTTGAAGAAATGGCCGGGCAACGCAGTCTGGCATGCTGTGCGCCACTACTGTTGCGCACGTTAGAACGCACGATGCTACACATGCAGCCTCCCTTTACAGAGTTAGTGGTATACCGGTAGCTTCAAACCCTACACCCTAAACCCTAAACCCTAAACCCTAAACCCTTGTGATCAGCTACTGCCTTCATTCTTCAGTTGTGGCGTGAAGGTCCAGGGCATGTGCTGAGTTCTTGAGACTTAGAGGCCTAGAGTTTACAGGGGTTGATGTTGGAAATGAATCTGAGTTTTTAGTACCCCCCTAATCCTTATATAGTCCTTATCAAGCCATGACAAACATTTATTTTTGTAGGGCCCCCCAACCTACCTTAGTTTAGGGTTCAGGCCTGGGCATCCATTCTGCCGGGCAACCTTTTGTTGAAACTTGAGAGGAGCACCGAGCATGGTATGGGCTTGTACCCGAAAACCCCAGAATCTACACCCTAAACCCTAAACCTCCCAAAGGGTATCTTTTTTCCCCGCTTGCTTGTAACCATACCCAATCAAACCCTGAGCTATGTTTTTGGGCGGGCTCCTTAGCGTTTACAAGGTTTCCAGTCCGTGTGCTCGACGGCACGGAGGGCAGCAGCTTTCCTCAAGACCGAGTCCAATCCCAAGTGCTTCTATGAACCCACTTCTGCTGCCACTTCTGCTGCCACGCAAGCAGCAAACAGCAACAACGAAAGTTAACAATGAGTTCAAGCATCAAGTTACTCAACAGAAGGTTGGTATGGTTCATGCGCTGGTGCCCCTAAACCCCAAACCCCAAACCCCAAACCCTAAACCCCAAACCCTAAACCCTAAACCCGAAACCCTAAGTGCTACACAGACGTCTCTGCTTTGGACATTGGCACCGGCCATGAGAGTTGGGAAATCTGTCAAGCCAAGATGTTCAAGAGCTAGACAAGATAATCCTTGACGTGGAAGGTTCAAGGGATTAGGGTTTAAAGTTTAGGGTTTAGGGTTTAGGGTTTAGGGTTTAAGTTTAGGGTTTAAGTTTAGGGTTTAGGTGTAACAAGTCAACAGCAGTAGTTCATTGCGCCACTCCGGTGCCATATACCGGCAGTTTCCACGCTTTTTGGGCCTCGCGCAGGCGCGCGAACGCTTTGTTCTAGTCATCCGAATCTCTCTGATGAGATATTTACTAGTAGTATTCCCTTGTTGTCCCAATAGAGTTATACTAAAGTAAGCCCCCAAAAGCCTCTTGGAACTCTTAAGGCCCCCATATTACTTACTGGTAAGATGGCTTGTCTCTCTTGAGCAGCGGGGTGGGGACCCGTGCTATTAGTTTAGGGTTTAGGGTTTAGGGATTAGGGATTAGGGTTTAGGGTTTAGGCTTGAGGGTTTCGGGTTTAGGGGCAAGCACCGAACTTGTTGATTCTGGGCGCGTCGAGGGCCTGCTAGAGCACCTGTCACATATGAAGCTGTACATGACCACACCGGAAACCACATCGTGGCCAGGGTTCGCAAGCTTCAGATCTGTTGTGAGGCACACCACTCCTGCTTCCTTTGTCTCTGGCGTCGCCTGGCTCTTATCTGACGTCACTTGTAACTTACCCTAAACCCGAAACCCTCAAGCCTAAACCCTAAACCCTAAACCCTGAAAACCCTGAAAACCCTGAACCCTAAACCCTAAACCCTAAGCCCTAAACCCTAAGCCCTCAACCCTAAACCCTAAACTAAACCCTAAACCCTAGCCCTAAACCCTAAACCCTGAACCCTAAACAAGACTACAGGTTTCCGGCGGTGCCCAGCCACATGGAAGACAACGTAGGGCGAAGCAAGGGGAAGCCCTCCGTCGGTTTAGGGCTCAGGGTTTAGGGTTAAGGGTTAAGGGTTTAGGGTCTGGGGTTTCGGCTTTCGGGTTTAGAGTTCAGGGTTTCGCGTTTAGGGTTTAGGGTTTAGGGTTTAGGGTTTAGGGTAGGGTCCGGTACCTCGGTTCGGCCATATCAAGGGACCTTGGTTCGGCGTATCAAGGGACAATGCAGCTACATGAAGATGAGAGCACCTTCGAAGTCAGTCTATACATATATATATATATATGTGTGGAGTTAGTATCATACGACAGTATAGGCACTATTATGTTTCTCTCTCTATATATATCTTTATAATGTAGAATTTAACATGGGGCCGAAACTGTCTACTGTCCCACTGTCATGACGCTTTGGAATGCAAGAATGCCGTACCGTCCCAAAAAGCTCAGAAAACCAATCTTTTCAGCGTCTTCGGAGGCGTAAAACCAAGGAGTGTGGGGCAGTACAACGTGTCTGCTCATCTGAGCCTGAAAACATTGGGACACTACAGCGTTTAAAATGACATATATCTATATATGCTATATTTTCACACTATACATACTACATGCATATACATACATATGTACCTCATATCCTATATAGACTGCAAGCAGCGCGTTTTGATGTTAATGCCGGTGCGGTGGTACCGGGATGGGCGATTGCCCTGAGAACCCAAAACCCACTTTTTTGTGGGCTCTTCTTATTAAACCCCTTATAGGATTCTTAGGGAACCTACCAAAAAGTAGGTTGTGGGTTCTTAAGGTAGAGTTTAGGGTGTAGGGTTTAGGGTTTACGGTTTAGGGTTTAGGGTTTGGGCTTTAGGGTTAGGGTTTAGGGTACCCTATGGATGAAGGGTACAATAGCCCATCCTAGTAAGGCAAGCTTTCGCCAACCACTTTCAGCGTCATGCAGATTGCACGTGGAGGCTGGGCTGGAGGTTACCGTGACAGCAGCAACTCTCTAAAAAATAGTTCAACATACTCCAAACCCATACCCTTAACATATAGAAGGAGAACATAAGAAAGATTTTCCCATACCCCTTAGTTTCTTGTAAGGGGCATGCAATGGAGGGGTATGGTGAATATTTTTGAATTCTCCATGATAGCACCGACGGTTTGCTGAGACTTGCATCCTCACATCTCACCAATCCATCCCAGTACTATAGGGGCTCGGAATAATTCCTGATAGCAATTTCTCATGGTCCCTTCGTAACTCTACTAAAATGACCCCCAAAACTCTGTTCTAGTTATCAAGGCCCCTATATGACTGTATCTGACCAAGAGCCGGTTGAATTTATATTCTACAGTGCCGCGCTAGCCGTGCTGTGTTTGCATAGCGCCTGGTGTCTCTCCCTGCCTCTTTGCGCAGGCTTTCTTGGCTTAGATGCGACCAGCCGCCAGATTACCGGACACATCTTGCAGAACAAGCTTTGCTGCAGGCGGGGCACGACGATTTGGGACTTTGGGGTAGGTAACAGCCAGTAATAGCACTGGACAGTTCAGCGTTGCCTGTATCTTTATGCTTGCTTTCGGTGCACGCAACGCCACGTTGATTGTTGGTTCGGTCCGAAGCACATGTGGATCTTTGGCAAAGAGACACTCCCTTGCCGCAGGCCATCAACATTGGAATCCGCCATCGCCTATGATCTGGCAACAACCCTGTGCGCTCCTCGCGGTAGTTTGATTCCGGCTGCTTCGTAGAAGTAAGGCCCTACCTTGGATCCACGAGTGAACTCGCACGCTTTGCATGTCAGTTCCTCATAAAAAATGTCACAGGTCGCATAGGTCGCCAGCTGTGCCGTGCCGCTGCATTGACTCATCTGCGCGGCCGCACATTGAGGCGCCACGTTCCAGCGAAGCCGGCGAAACCGTTCAAGCCGGTGAAGCGAGTGAAGCCATCCAGCCCCTGCTTCAAGCCTCGCGGAGTTTCGAGGGGCCCAGTGTTTGCAAGGGTGGGTCTACTTGGATTGCAAGAAGCTGCCTTGCCCCGCAAAGCCACCTCCGGGTTGCTCCGCCCGGCAAAAGTCCACAAGGCGCCTCCCTCCCCCTCCCTCCAGTTTCTCCTTGGATTCGAATCAGTGCACTAGACACCAACAGAGAGACCATAGATTCGAATCTAAAGTGAGGCTGAGGAGGGCGGCTAGAAGACCTTGCCGGTGTGCAATCAAGTCCCTATAGCCGTTTACCGAGTACGAGGTGCCTGCAAGTTGCGGCATCTTGATCCGTGCAGAATGTGCATACAAGCCCGAAACCTCAACCCAGAGGTGCGGGAAGTCACCCAACCTCTTCTCAGCCCCCCACTTGACGATGTGCAGGGTACTGCTTGGCCTCTCCGGCAAAGCTGCAGGTGCCTGTTGACTGCCTTTTGTATTTTGGGGATCGTCTCACTTCTGGGTTCCGGGCTGATGCACTTGCCGCGCTGCGCGCCACGAACATACACATTGTCCAGAAACTTCAGAGCCCCGGTGGCAAAATCAAGTGCAAACCCATGCCAGGCGGTGCTCCCCTGAAGTCCCCTGAAGTCGCCTCCATGCCCACAGGCCCACGTCACACCCCGATAGGCTTTGAGAGCGGGCCTGTGCAAACGGGCATGGATTCGTGACAGTGCTCCCAGGATGCACGGGTAGAAGAAGCCCAGTAGAAAGCGACACTTCCCTATAGTGACCTGACGGCCACCGCGGCCCTTCTCGACACCTGCAGGCGGCCAATGCCCCAACTTGATACCTGTGTTCACAGAGGCTTTGTGCCAGCGAGCTTCGCGGGTCTTCCCCAAACATGCGCTCGCGCATGGAGTTCGTTCGCCGGTTCGCTTGACATCCTCCAGTCGGTTCATGCAGTTGCGATAGGGTTTGGAATGTTTGGGATTGCAAGTGATAGGCCCTTGACCGGTAGGCCAGGTGACGCCATCTCCGCAGTGCATCTCCAGCCGAGCAACAAGCCCTTCCCTACACCTGGGGTTGCCCAAGTCTGCGTGAGGCGCTCCGCCTTGGTAGGGAACCTGGTGTATGTCGACGCAGCACAATACAGCACAATACACATGCTCTTGAGAGGGCCAGCTTCATGTCTGTTCTGAGAATAAGGAGCTTGGGCGGCATACCCGCACATGCGGTTTCGGGCGTTCCCTCGGGTCGTTCCGACTAAGCTGCCCACTTGTAAGCGACGATGCGCATTTCTACGGCGGGAGCTTGACGTGCTGACACGGTGTCCATGCATCGAGTTTCCAAGGACTGGAAGTCGCACCCTTAACCCAAAACCCTAAACCCTAAGCCCTAAACCCTAAATACAAGTACCTCAAAGATTCTCTCGCAATGAGCCCACATGTGTGCCACGCGTCGTCAAGTTGACAAGCGCGAAACGGCGTGATCAGAACTCTCAGAACATCAGAGGCTTCCGGGACATCACCAGACGTGGCCGGCAGTAACTCGTTCTTGCCCTTCAGCTTCTACCCGGCGCAGCTGCCGCTTTGCGCTGAGAGCTCTTCGCGCGCGTCTCCTACTTTCCGACACTGCCAGCCACTTGCCAGGCATGAAACTGGTACCCTCAGACATGCAATCCTTGTGACATCCAGACTCTCCGTGGCCCTGGGCGTCAAGCCTGAGCCCATGGGGACATGAGGCTTGCAAGCAGATGATCATCAAGGCAACGACTGCTCGGGGTCTATGGCCGCGAAGCGCTGGACATTCCTTGCAAACCCTAAGCCCTAAACCCTAAACCCTGAATCCCAAACCGTCTTGATCGGCTTGCCAGTCTCAAGGCCTGCAATTGGATTCTAGACGGTTCTAACACCACCACGCGGCAGCGCATCAAGTTCCAGCGATTGCGCAAACAGGCTCCGTGTGATGATGCCGGCGCGGGCAAACTAGGCATACAAACAGGCTGATCTTGGAATCGAATTTGTCCGTAAGATCAGACAGTAATTTGCAAGGATTCTTCTGTGATGTGAACAATGGCCTTTGAGGAACGAGCTCCGCTGCCATTTCCAATGATTGCGAGTTGCAACTCACACGGTGGAGGTGCCAAGCTAGCCTGAGCATGATCTGCTAGGCTGGCCAGTGTTTCTTTCCTGCCGCCAATTTCTCGGCAAGGCGCATGCCAGTCCCTCAGCAAGGCCTCAGCAAGCTCTCAGCAGGGGGCGTTGAGTGGGGGGGGTGGGGGGGGTTAACAAGTTCATGTTTATGCTGCACTCATGGCTTCCCACCTCAACATGGCGCAGACATGTACCAGTCAGGGCGTTCGTGCTGTCGACGAACACGCTCTTCAAAGACCGCCCCGAGAGAAGCCCCCCGTGCACAGAAGGACATTGGAACTTCCTTCTAAGTTGTGGTGATGCTTGTGGGGCCTGGTTTTGACATTGAAGTTGAGCATCACATGCCGTCCAGGTCTCCTAAGAGCACCGGGGCTTGATTTCCCGCTGCTGGGTCAAGCTCCCAGGCTCCTGTTGCCCACGCAGCCGCCTTGCATAAGGGGGTGCTGCAACTCTGCAGGACGCTGCAGGACCAGCTGCTTGCAGGAACACTGTGTTGCCATTAGCTCCAGCCCGTGCCCGCCGCATCCATCAGCCACACTGCTACGAGGACCGATGCCCTTGCCCTGCCACGCCCCTACATTCAGAGCATGGCATGGCCTTACAGCCCCTGGCCCCTGATGCAAGCCTTCACCTTGTTTCCTTGTCGCTGCCCACTTCCTCTCCGGTCTTGCTCGGGCTCTTATCCCGGTTGGTCTTGCAGCCCTTTGGGCCTGTTCATCAGAAGCGCTCACGCTGTGTTCTTTTTGCGCCGGCCTCAGCAGTAGCAGTTGGCATGATGTGATCCAGTCGAGGACCTGTGACTGTCCTTAATTTTTGGGCGCAGGCAACACGTGTGCGGCGACCAATCAGTTTGAAGTTGGCTCTTGCAGTCAAACTTGTCAGACCATCCAGTCCCGCAAGCTGCAGCGCGTTACTAAAGAGTTCCCTTCACTTCACCTTCTGCATCAAAGGCAGGATGCCTATTCCTTTCAGCAACGTTAGCAGCTCATTAGCAAGAACTCTTTCATCCGGGCCATAGAGGTTTCCTTGGAGAACTGGCTTCTTGTTTGATGTGTCTGCCAGGTGCGATATCACTCTTCTTCTCCCAGAAGCAAGCAACTGAAGCCATCTGACTGCTGCTTCGTGATGTCCAGCAGTCTGTTTCTTGAAGATTGACCTCAAGAAGTTGCACCCAAGCCCATCTGCGCCCAAGTGGGTGCATCTGTGTGTCTGTGCGTGGGGGCTGCGCGATCGTTGTGAAAAGGAGCTTCGGCAACGTATTCGGACATGAACCTACAAATGACATACGTTGACATCTCATGATTTGCTAGGCTTCAATCGGCTTGTTTGGTCTGCAGGGGCGGTGGCTGGCGCCGCAGCACAGCACATTCCGGTAGCGCAGTGCTACAGAGCCCCTGCTTCGCCCCAGCTCGTGCGTGGTTCCTTTCAGCGCAAGATTTGTTGCCTGACACTTTGACCGCCTTACAGATGCTTTCATCTTGCCATCCGCTGCTTGGTTGCGCGTGACATTCCTTCAGACGCGTAGAGCGGTAGTCCAAACAGCAGCAGGGGAGCAATGTGAGGGCTGCCCAGCTCTTTCTCGATGTTTTGCGGTCTCTGCAAAGAAAGCGTGTGACAGGGAGGCCGCCGTTTCCCAATTCTGAGAAGGTCTCTCGATGGCACGTTCGTCTGTCACATCAAATCATATGCTGTTTCATGTGCCCAAGTAGCGGAAAGAACTCTGCAGGCAAATGACAATGCCTGATCCGCAGCAGACACGATAGCTGGCACCGCAGCGCAGCAAACCGCAGCAGCAGCAGTGCGGCAGCGCTAGAGAGTCTCTGCTTCGCGCCACCTTGTGCCTCAAGGCACGCAGCAAGCTACATGTTTGCCTGACAAAGTGTCTGTTTGCACCATGGTTGCGTGCCCTTAACACCCTCTTCTAAGCCCCCTTAGCCCCTTTCACGTGCTTTCAAGTGGCCATCCACAATAGCAGGTAGTTTGCCAGCGACATCTAGAGTATCGGCAGCCCAAGCAGCAGAGGAGCAGGGTATAGGGTTTAGGGTCTAGGGTGTAGGGGCTGTCCCTTCCCTGATGTCTTGTGAAGTGTGTAACGGATCGGCCCGGCTACCTTTCAACAACTTTACGTGACTTGCCGAGCTGCAACCAAAGCGTGTGCCCGGGAGGCCTACTCGTTCGGAGAAGGTCTCTCCATGACGCATTCCTGCACTACAACCATCCCCGCCAAGTTGTCAGAAGCAGTCCGCAGACCAGTGACGCTGCATGATCCGGAAAGCAGAACAGCAAGCTCCCGCAGCACAGGTGGCAAAGTGCTTCTCAGGCTCTCAGATTCTTCGAGCTGTGTCCAAATACTGAAAGTGCATCTCCCGGAGACCATCTGTGCTGCACTGACAGACCCAGAATCCCAGAAGCAATCGATGGGTCCCCCTGGGATGTCACTGAACTGTGTTTAAATCATCCGTTGAGTCCCCTGGAATATCCTTGAGCTGGAGTGTCTGATGTGTCTGCAAGGCGCGCTGCGCCTCATGGCTCTCATGCGCAATCGAAGTTCCAGGTCAGCTGACGATACCCAGGCAGCGACAGCATGCGACAGTTCATCACGTTCCAACAGTGCAGTGCAGAGACCGTCCGTTTGCTCCTGTTGTCTAGCCGTCGCAAGATTGCCGGGCCTGGAAACGCGCCTTGTTCCCGGCCCACCTGTGCCAAACGGTTGTTAGCGTCCGTGTGTCTGAGCGAGGAGTACAGCCAAACGATCGCTCTCAAAAGGTCCTTCGACGGTTTCTCCACGCATGATTTCCGTTGTTCTGACTTAAGTCTAAGTTGCTTCCACGTTGACATGAGCTGCCAAGACCACGTTTCTTGATCTGTAGCCGTGGGTGGCCCTCTCTTGATGTCTCGTGGGGTGTGTAAAGGATCGGAGCGCCTACCTGTCAACAACTTCACTTGACTTGCCGAGCTGCAAAAAGTAGCCTGTGCCCCGGAGTCCACCTGCTCGTTCTGAGAAGTCCTCTCCATGACGCATTCCTACGCTACAAAACGCCCCGGCAAATTGTCAGAAGCAGTCCGCAGGCCAGTGACGCTGCTTGATCCGGATAGCGTGCAGGGCAGCCTTCACCACTCTTGGCGCCTTTTTTACTTTCTTCCTTTTTTGCTTGGCGGGTTGTATCCAACTTTAACGTAGGCCTGTGGTTGCAATGCTCAAGCAATAAGTAAAGCCTAAACCATCAAAGGGCCTTAAATCGTAAACACTGAAACCCTAAAACCGTAAATTTAAATCGTAAACACTGAAACCCTAAAACCGTAAATCAGAACCTTAAACCCCACAAGCTGCTGCCGTCCCGGGCCACTCAGCCAGTGGTGCTCATTCAGCCGGGGGGCTCAGCTCGCCAGGGCTTTAAATCCCACAAGTAGTTAATAATAAGCGCCGAAAGGCGGTAATGCGCCGAAAGGCGATAATGAGCCGAAAGGCGATAATGCGCCGAAAGGCGATAATACTAAAGCGCCGAAAGGCGATAATACTTAAGCGCCGAAAGGCGATAATACTAAAGCGCCGAAAGGCGATAATACTAAAGCGCCGAAAGGCGATAATGCGCCGAAAGGCGATAATGCGCCGAAAGGCGATAATGCGCCGAAAGGCGATAGTTTAATTTTAGTTTAGACTTTTGGGAAGGGATAGTTAGTGGGGTTTAGGGCTGAGGGTAGTTTTGTAAACCACTCGGGGTTTAGGATTCAGGGCAAACCCGAACCCCACCTATCTCTCTTGCCTTTAGGTTTGAGGGTTTATAGCCTTCCAGTGGGGGTGCAAGGTTGCTTGGGGTCAATGGGGCCTGCGGCTTGTGTGCTGTGGGTTTGGGATCCTGGTTGTTTTGGATTGTAAGAGCCATGCAGGTGTTAGGCTCCTAATATCCATGTTATATACCGCCGTTCGTGGTTATCGTTTCCTAAACCCTATATATTTATTTATATTTATATTATATATTTATATATTTATATATATTTGTATATTTATATATTTATATTTATATTTATATTTATTTTTATTTATATGTATATTTATATTTATATTTATGTTTCTGTTTGTGTTTATATTTATATTTATATTTATTTTATATTTATATTGCTATTGATATTTACTATAAATTCAAAAATGTATCAAGCCTACCCATCAAACACCACAACCCTAGAACTTGAATCCTAAATCCTAAAACCTAACCCTAAACCCTAAAACCTAAAGGGAATCAGGGTTGAGATTCCCGAGAATTTCGGGTTCACCGCCTCTATACCCTAGGCCCTAAACTACCCTATCCCTGCAATGTGGACGGACAGTTCAGCTAGGCTAGCCTGAGTTAAACCCTAAAACTTAAGCTCTAAAGCCTAGACCCTGAAGGCTAAACCCGAAGCAATAACGGCTAATCCCGAAAATCAAAACCCTAAAGCCCTGTCTTGGAGTGCTACCCGGAGAGAAGTATGACGACACCCAAGCCCTGAAGAAACCCTGACCCTCAATATCCGATATATAGCCCTTAGACCCTGCGCCTAAATTTACCATTGCATTCCTGAGGTCCGTTGGTTTCTGCAGAGTGCACCTCGTCGATCATCACGCAGGCCAGCCAAGTTGTAGCACACGTGGCGTCTTTCTTGCACAGTGGGTTTTGGACTTTGTCACACTATTGTCACATGAGTCTCACCCTGCTGCCCATCCCAACTGGTCTGACTTGGCAGGAGGCTTGGACCAGCTGCAGGTGCTGAGCGAGGCAACTGCGCGGACTCAGTTGGGTATTTAGGCGGGTTTAAAGTGTATTTATCTTAGGATTTAGGGTTTAGAGCTTAAGGGTTCAGAGTTTACTTTGGGGTTGTATGTAGTGGGTCGTTTGCCGCAAGGTGCTAGTGAGCTAGTGGGTTCTTTGGTTCCACGTGCTAGTGGGTTCGTCGCCGCAAGGCGCTAATAGTGGGTTGCTCGCCGCAAGGCGCTAATTAGTTAAGATAGTATCTAGATAGTAGGTTCGCCGAAAGGCGCTATAGGGGACAGGCCAGGGCTGCGTTACAGGATTGCTTCTCTACACGCGAAGTCCCCTTTCGGACCCTTAGCAGAAAATCCAGGGTATAGTGGGGTTCAGGCTCGACGGGCCTAAGGGATTTAAGGTTTGGGCGGAATATTTGATCATTAATGGGCGTAGCCGTAGTTCTAGCCAAGCTTTTCGAGTCGTGGCGACATACATTTCAAATTTCGAAGAGTGACTCAAACAGTCAGAGTCCGCTCCGACCCATGGAACCTGCTGCGGGGAAGTGTAAACCTAAAGTCGCAAAGCTTGGCTCGCCCTCTACCTTAATCTTTTCCCTTCTCTATGTGCCTTCTACCTGAGGCCCGGCCGATCTTCGCAGACAATCCCGGTGCACATGACAGGACTCTTGCTGGGCTGCCTGCTTCAATCTGTTTCAGTCATGAGCATCTTGCATTTCAGCTGCGCCACATGGGCTGAGAGTCTAAGTGCTAAGCTCGACAGACGAACTCAATAATTGACCAGAAGCGTGTGCTGCAAATCTTGACCGCTTAGAAATTTTGTTTGGGGTGCACGCTGGTTTGTCAGTTTGTCCAATATCATAGCCCCCTTTCCTTCGGATTCAATGTCAGGCCTAACGCTAAAGGTTGTCAGCAATGTAAGTTCACGGTTTCAAACAACATGGCTGCCCCTGGCCCCACTGCAGTAAGCGTTTCCAGGTCAATGTGAACCTGACAGAATGCCATCATTCAGCTACTAATTTAACGTGCCATGCCTTCTCAGAAGCCTTTCGGCGTTCCTCCGAGGGACTGGTATGGCAACCGCGGGCAAGGCCGCGTGCTGCGGCGTCAGCAGGGCCAACGTGGGCCAATTTCGCCGCCGGCGATAGTAGCCAGTTTGCAATTGGCAGCGTTTGAAGCATTGTCTTTACTAAGACATGGTTAAAGGGTTAAGAGTTAAGACAACGCCTCTTGCCCTATTGTCCAATACTCCTGCAGATCGCAGCTCGGCCACGCGCGCCTGGCACTGGAACTCCGCTGGCTTCGTCTGTTGCTGCTTCGCCTGGGCCTGGCACTGGAACTCCGCTGGCTGCGGAACCGCCTGCTGGCAGCCCTGGAGTTGCGGCTTCATCGTCTGTGCCACCTGTGCCTGGACAAGAAAGGGTAGCAGCAGAGTTGTTGTGTAAAGTATCCATTTTCGAGGCATATCCCTTCGGATTTTGAGTCCGGGGTGACTTGAAATTCTTGGGGTTCGATTGTTCGGGCTCCATTTTCATGGTGAAAGTACTCAATCCACAACCAGTTTCTGGTGCACATGCTGGCCAGGAGATGCCAGTTGCAGATGCTGGCCTGGACCAGGAGATGCCAGTTGCTGCTGATGCTGTTGCTGGCCAGGTTGCTGCTGGTGCAGACACAGCTGCTGGCCAGGAGCCGGGTGTTCCTTTGCTTTACGTTACACACCCTTACTGATTCATTGGACTTGGGATACGACTGTATTCGCAAGCCCCAGACCCTTAATACCCTGTAACCCATGATGATTTCGACAAGCCGGTTTTTGGTGGCCGGGTTTCAGTCAAGGAGCGACAGTCGCCTTCCGAGACCCCGCCTCTGCCTCCTTTCAAGTGGCCCTTCAAGAAGCTTGCTGAGGTCAGTCAGACGGACTCTTGGCCGAAAAGGATCAGTCTGCTGTCCCTGATTCTATGTTGAGAATCGAGCCTGATTCAACACACCCCTGTGACACCCATACTGTTCTGCAATCATTCCGACAGATAATAAACACGAAGCCGCTTTGAGACGAGGTTGTCTATCAACCAAGTCTTTGACCCTGATCCCAAATCCCCAGGAAGCCATGCCCTTCGGATGGACCAAAGTCCTGCTGCAGGATAACACGTGCTACTGCTACAACATAAAGGCCAAAGTCTGCTGCTGGAATGCGCCTACTTTGCTGCAAGATTCTGGGACTCCAGTTAGCAAATGCGGTTGTCGGATTGCAGTGGGGTTGCAATGGGGTTGCATTGGGGTTGAAATTTCTTTGAATGAGATATGGGTCGGTCTTCGTCGGGGCTTGTGTGATCTATGGCTTTTGCTCAGGTGCCCGATGCGGATCCTTTGCCCCCAGGGTTTTCACCCTGGGAATTATGGGATGTCTGGGGCACCTGCAAGACGAGTCGCGTTTGGTTTAATCCTAAAGCGGGGACGGTGGCCGACTTCGATCTTTTCGAGCCTGGGCTGGACTGACATGAAAGCTTTTGTTTGGAGCTTTGTCAGTTAAGGTAGGGCGTCGATTTCGGAGGGGTTTAAGTTTCGCTTTGGTGGTCATGGGTCCTTGTCCATCTGAGAAAGACGCCTACGAGAGCGCGAAGGCTGAGATGGAGGCGGCCGAGATGCAGCGGCGTCGGCGCGAGCAGGAGGCTCGTGATGAGGCGGATGCGGCAAGGGCAGCGGCTAAGAAAGATAAGAAAGAGAAGAAGAGGAGGAGGGGCTGAGGAATGAAATCCTCGTCTATCCTTTAAGACTACTGCTGTAGAACATATTGAGAATGGAACCAATGGAATCAACAAAGTAGCATGCCGACAGGCTTTTGGACTTCCTTCTCCGGTGGTAGTTTGCAGCCGCTAGCCACGCACGGACGAAGCAACCCGCGGCCCGCTGTAAATGGTACTGGTAAACTAACTTTAACCTGGCTCAGCCTGGCTTGTTTCAATGCTTCGTCCGGCCAATCTCATTTTGCTGCCGTCTGCTCTTGGGAAAAAGTTCAATGCTTCAGTTGCAGACGATGACAATGAGAGTGGAGTGTTTGTTGGGAGTTCAAGTCTGACGGCAATTTACTTGTGTGGCCTCAAGTTATGTCAGCCGTGCTGAGTGCAGACTGTCTTGGGCGGAGGGGTTTGCTGAGTGCTGTCCCACTGAACAACTCGATTTGCAGGACAAGCCCTCAATCTTCATGGAAGCCCGCCACTGAGTCAGTGTCATGTCCATGATCAGTGTTGCAGGCGTGTTGGCTTTGACAAGACTGCAACCACACTCAATGTCACGTGCTGCCTTCACTTGCGTGCCCTCCTCTTGGTAGCCTGCTGAAGATTCGGGCCCCTCGTTTTGCGGAACCTCGTACCCCCAAGGCGTGACAAGAGTTAACACGAACATGCCCAGGTCTGGCTTCTTCGGCCGCTCCGCAGTCGGGGCCCTGACTGAAGAATCTCAGTGTCAGCTGATGGAGAGGTGACATTTCTTTCAATCAGAGCCTGACTGAACCTTGACGGAGTGTCATTGTGAGCTGTTTTGATTTAAACGTCCTGGTTTGAGCCAGGCGAGACAGTCGAGCCTGGAGCGAAGAAGAAGAAGAACAAGCGCACCTTCTCCGAATTGATGGCCAAGGCATCTGATAGCAGGTGGCTGCCAACAGACATTGACGACGGTGTTGGTGTGAAGATGCAGAAGTTGCTTGAGCATGTCGGCTGTGAGGCAACTGACCTTATGAAGGTTCATTTGGCAATCTTGAAGAATCAATCCAAGAAGCACAAGGGCAACCAGATCCTAACGACCGATGCCAGTAGCTTCCGCTTCACCCACCACCGTGTTTATGTCGAAGAATTGCCCCCAATGAAGGCGAAGACTGTTGTCCTCACCTACCAGCGAGAACCCCCGAACGACAGGCCACAGGCCAATGTTGTGTCGCATCATGAGCTACTGAATGCACATGGCTATCCGTCTGGCACAGTCCATGTACAGATGCTGGGGAATCAGGGCGCTGCAACTGCAATGTCGCACGTAGTTCCAGCTGTAGTGGGTATGATCCTGTGCGCAGCGGCTGTGCTTCTGCAGCCGCAAGCCATTAGCTAGCTCTGCGCAAGGCAAGATCTCAGTCACCTGGCCTTGGCCGATACGGAAATTGTGACTCTGACTGTGCTGCGCAGTGCAGTGTTGCTGACTTTGGTGTGCGTGGTGCCTTCCAGCCTCAGTCCTCAGCCAGGGCAGAATTTAGTCTGGAAATCCTTTGGGGAAAACCGAACCCTCCCCAGACTAGCCCGTCGACGGGCTAGTCTGGGGAAGCTTGTTTTCTTGTGCGCAGCCAGGTTTGTCATGGCAAGTCTGGGGGGGAGGGGCCTGACAAAGTCCACAACGGGGGCTGAAAGCAGCTCTTCCAGACTAGCCCGTCGACGGGCTAGTCTGGGGAGCTATCCGTTTTCCACAAGATAATCCCAGACTGAGAGTCACGTGCCGGGGCATTTCTTCATCGAATCAGGACCTCCTGTGCTGTGCAAGGCAGTCTCGCTTGCACCAGTCATGGCAACGGCTACCCGCCGTTGTTCTGGTAAGCAGGCGCCCGGAACGACCCCGCCGGCTGGAGGGGTGAGTCTGCCCCACCCCGTCAATGACATGATGCTGGAAGCGGCCAAGGCTGTGAACCTACAGGCCTGGCATCATGCAGTCGTGACAGTCGGGCTTGGACACGCTAAGACATGTTTCAAGATGCACTTGTCAGGCGGGCTTGGGTGACCCATGTGACATGGGCGGTGTCCTGGCGCTGGACAGCACGGCCTACAAGGAGACATTGAAGAGGGACCGGGAGTACACATGCAACATTACCTTCGACAAGCTGCCTTTGCTGGGCTGGGCACACCCGTCCATTCCTCCCAACCAAGGCTCTCGACTTTAGCTGTTGCCTATCCCTTGTTTGTAGCACTGTGCTTTCCTTTCCTGCAGGGTCTGTGAAGATCATGCAGCAAAGACATTTCACCGAGCCGGACGGAAGCGTCAAAGCCCCACCGACATGGAGCGACGTGCTGGTGCTCCGGGCAATGTCTGAGACCCAGCCACCCACAACCATGGAGGTTCTCAATGGCGATGCCTACAGCCTGGGGCTTTGACTGGGGCTTTCAACACATCTGTCTTTCGAGTTCGTTCCTTGCGTCCCTGCGATGCCAAGGAGCAGCTTTCTTGATTAGTTGGGCGGCAGCACCTCCAAAAGTGGCGAAGCATTTTGAAACCTTGGCACGAGCTGTCCGCGTGACTCGTCTGTCTTTGCTAGGCTCCAATCAAAACTGCGTTCCTCTCCTGTGCCTAAGGTGAAGTTCGTCCCTTTGCTGGACGGGGCAATGGTCGAGCGGAAGAAGTGGGAGCTGGCTGAGGAAGTAGGCGCTGCAGTCGTCAGAGCATTGTAGGGGCCAGGGAAATTGTGGAGTCCTGCGCGCCAGGGGATGCCCGTGAAAGCGTCACCCTACAAGGGTGGCGAAGAATCCTGGGCATGGCCGTTGTGGAGTCCACCCTGAAAGGCCTGGGCCGTCCCTCGAACGCGGATGCATTGGAGAGATGGTACCTTAACTGCAATTGTCTCTTTCGAAACTTGGATTTGCAGAGTGTCCAGGCAAGAACAGCTCACTTAGGTTCGGAGAGGGCAAGGTTCGGGGGATGAGCTCGAAGAACATCTCGAAGTGTTTGAAGATCCACAAGAGGATCACGGCTGCTGATTTTCGAACACAAGAGATCATTGCTGATTTCGATGATAGGTTTGGCAGCCGGCACACCTTGGCATCGGTACAGAGCTTGGACATATTGGTGACACGCACATATGTCAGTGGTAACGATGCCGTGTCGAGATCGCTGCTCCTGTGGTGTTTGGAGCACTTCAACAATGATGTGCAGCGTGGTACCGTGAGCTTTGATGCAGCCAAGCCGGCCTTTAACCTTGCCATCTCCAGGAGCCTCTTGAAAAAGCGCATCATTAATTATGTAAACAAGAAAGTCCCCATGCCGGCCAAGCCAAAGGGGTCAGACCCTGCCAACATCCCCACGATCGAGAGCATCTTCGGCAGCTTTCAGAAATTCAGGAACAGCGGCCTCGACCATGGAAGCACGCTGGTGATGACGTGGAGGGCGTCTATGCCTTGCTACCTGCAGGAGACGTTCGATTTCCTGACCAAGCTCACACGCGGAGGAGGCGCCCTTGACGAAAGCCTCGACATCTTTCTCAGTAGTCTTTCTCCAAAAAGATTCCCTGGTTTCAGCCGAACTGGTCTTGAGGGCTGTGACTATGAAGGATCACTTCGACTTGGCGGGTGTTTTGGAGGCGGCCAGACAAGCTGCAGAAGAAGCTCGAGCACCGATGCCACCGCCGCCCGTTGCCCCAGCTTCCCCCACGCCGGTGCCGGAATCGACCACGGCAGCGCCGGAACTGCCTGAAGATCCCGAGGTTGCTGCTGAGGAGCGGCCGTAAAATACTGGTGTGCGTGCGAGCGATAGTGTGTGTGGGACTCATTGTGTGCACCAGTGGCAGGACATGATAGAGCCAGCTGATCAGCCCCGACGGCTCGACCGCACCATGTTCTTTGACGCTTTGCCCTTGTCCTCTGTGGCCAAGGACATTCTGTGCAAGATTCCAGACGACAGTCAGTTTGAGCAACTGTTGGACACAGCACGCTTGCGCAGCTTGACTGTCATGGGGGGTTACATGCTCTGACTCACAGTCTTGCCCATGGGAACCAGGGTCGTGTGTGTTGCACAGGGGCCAACACATTCATCGACCTGCGTGTCTTGCCCAGTGATGTGGCCAACTTGAGAGCTGCTTTGGAATCCCTTCCGGCGTCAGAGAACAGGATGTACTTGTATGACTCCAAGAATGAGACCAAAGATAATGGCCGAGTAGCGAGCAATGTGCCGTTTCGTCGCCCCCCATCCCTGGACAAGAAGAACTTCAGGATGGTGGCCGAGGCTTTGTGACTTGGCCCATGCCTGTAGTCGGCTGACACAGTTCAATGCTTCTATTAGGTTGCAGCGAGTTACTCTGCTTCTCGATGCTTCTCGCTTTCATTGAGGTTTGGGGACCCCGCCTTGGCAAAGGACAGCTCGAGAGCTCAGCCAGTGATTTTCCGTGGCTGCGACATAGGTGTCTTCTTGGATGGCCGATCCCCCGTGAACCAGAAGCAAATGACAACCGAGCTTTGCCGATGCATGAAGCCACACTCGAGTGTGTTTCCCAAGCTTGGCGGCGGCTTGATCACAGTGAGGCTTCTCTACCATGGTAGAGAGTTTGAGGCGTCGGGCCGATTCTCGTTGGCCAGGCGAACGTGCCTGACCCAAACAGCCCCAGACCCTTTGGAAACTATGCTTGTCATGCAGCCGAAGGCGTACACGATTGCACAACGGGCACTGCCACTTGTCCACAGCGACTCCTTTTCCAGAGCTTGGACAGGTCTGGGGTTGAGAGATTACAGCGATATGGAGTTGACAACGGTGCTTGATGCGAGCAAGTTCTTCATGCTTACAGACAAGCAGAAAGCGGCTGCGGAGGCAGCCGGCACGGGCGCTACAGACAAGCAGAAAGCAGCTGCGGAGGCAGCCGGCACTGAGGACATCGCGCAAAATTCAGACGATGGTGATGATGATGATGCTGGCAGCCAGCCTGAAGAGGGTGCTCCAGCCCCAGCTCTCTCAAAAGGTGTGCTCTTGTGGCCTTGGGCGTCAGGGGAGGGTTGCTGGGCATCCATCTACACGGCATTCCACATGGTAAACCCATCGCAGACCTGGGTCATTGATTTCACTGCAGGCTGCGGCCTTGCAGCCCTCGCGGCCGTCCGGGGTCGCTTTCACTACATCGGCTTTGCCGCCACGGAGGTCCATGTCAAGTTTCTCCGCCAGTACGTGCTGTTCCGCATCGTCTCCGAAATGGTGTTGAATGTGGACCCACAAGCATGGAATCTTCGTCGGCGCGTTCTGTGCCGTGAGAACAGCTTGACTGGCTCCAGCACAACGGGCTCTCCTGAAACTATGCCATCAAGGACCTCACTGATTGTGTAAGCGTGTCTACTTACGAGATCTTACGAGTGCAACAAACATGGCCAGGACAGACGAAGATGAAGCTGAGACGCCGAAGGCCCTGGATTCTCCCAACGGCTCTGCTCCTAAAAAGGCCAGGAAGCGTAGCAGCAGCAGCAGCAGCAGCAGCTCTTCAAATTGAATGGAGTCCGACACCAAATAGCCGCCAGTGCGATTAAGTCAAATCTCTTATGAATTGACTATGAGTTGAATTAGCTTAACGTCTGCTGTTGGGGTGGAAGCTGCTGGATTTTGGAACCGACACGGTTGCCCAGCAAGCACGGCACGCACGATGCACAGAGTGTCGTGCCGATTTCCACTTCGCAACCGCCGAGCTGAAAAGCGCGAAGTGGCCTGCAGAACTGACTGTTCTTGATCTTAATGTTCAGGCCTGTTCATGCTTGCTGCAGAGTGACCTCTGAGTACATCTCCCGGAGCTTTGCTTCACGTCCGGTGCGCCATGGGGAAATATGTTCGGAATGAAAAATTGGGTGTCAGCCGTCCGAGAAATGCTTACTCGTCCTTTTGCAGCTATGCCAAGCGGCATGGTGTGCATCCAAGAATGAAGAAGAGGATCTGTGGCAAGACCATTTCGTTCCAGCGTGACAACTGCAAGACCAAGTGGTCAGGGCCCAAGAGTACCACGCAGCTTCATTGAGGTTTTTCATGGGCACAGAGACCAGATTGTCGCTGAGGAAGTCCATGACAACGGCGGAAAAACAACCTTTCTTTGAAGACGCCGCGAAGCAGAAAACCTTCAAGGAGGCCATGCCGGCTTGCTCTTTCTACATGAACCTCGGGCAGCCTCCTGTGCAGGAACGTCGAGCAGAGGCACTCGGTGTGGAGAATGACGTGACGATGGACAACGGGCCGGAGGCCAGTCGTTTAGCATCAGTGTACGTTTGTTTTCTGTTACATTCCTGGTGGGGCCGTCCAGGTCCATGATGATGCGAGCCGCTGTGTGGGAGAACCCCAACCGGAGCCCGTGCAAATGGCTCACATCAGCAACCGCTTGGAGGTCATGGAGGCCTTGGGCGAAGGAGGGTATGGCTTGGTGCACCGGGTGAGGGACCGACCCATGTCAGTCTGCAGAAAATTTGTGTTGGGAATGTGTAGTGAACTCGAGCATGGAATTGAATCGGATCACTTTGTGTTTGACTCTCAGGATATACGGGAGTGTCCTATGCCTGCAAGTTCCAGCAGCCTGAGGCATCATGTTCCGAAGCCACGGGGGCGAGCATCATCACAGAGGACGAATATCTTCGCCGAAGCGCGCACCCTCATGTGATTCGTACCTTTGGCCTGGTCTCCCGGCCCAACAATTCCACGAAAGGGGTTGGACTGCTGATGGAGCTTGCAGAAGGCTGTTTCGTTTACCATTGCCGCGAGTCCATGCCGGCTTTCAGCAAGTCATGGGGATATGTGCATCAGATATTACAAGGTCTCAGCTACATCCATGCCAACCGCATCTTGCACCTCGACTTGAAACCACACAACGTACTTGTTTGCAAAGCCAGTGATGGAAGTGCGATCTTGAAAATTGCGGACTTTGGGCTGGCCGTGAAGCTGCCCGGTGACCAGCTCGGAGTCATGCTTCCTGGACGAGAAGTGTGCACACATAACTACAGGCCTCCTGCAGCAATGATTGCTGGCTCGAGCAAGGCGCGGGCAGCGTAGTGTAGCAAGCCCTCACGTTCAGGGATACCTGAAAGCAGCCCTGTGCAGGTTTCGGTGACGGCGTCCACAGATGTGTTCGCAATGGGCTGCCTGGCTTTCTTTGCCTTCAGTGGGGGGCATTCCTTGCTCAAGGAGAACTACAAAGAACATGTCCTCGCAGCATCGGCCGCTGGACGTGTGCAGAAGCTGCTGGATGAAAAGCTTGCTTTGAGAGCGAAGCAATGTCTGCGCCCAAACCACGAGCGTTCTCAGCCATCTCAGATAACTTTTGTCTCCAAGTGTGTTCGTGCAACATGCCGGGAGCGAGAAACAGTTCCGGCATTGCTTGTGCGATGCCAATTGGCATTGGAAAACCTCGTCCGGACATGATGTCCGACTAGATCAGCGTATGCGCTCGCAGAGGGGCTGCGAAATAGTTGCCGTGTTCCCATGCTTCATGCTTTGTTGCAGCCCGAACCCTTGCATTGCAGAACGCCCCTTCATGTGTTCGCTGAGGCTCGCCTCAATCACTGGAGTCTCGTGGAACGCCTGGGCCCAATGAGAGCACTTCACAGGCAAGGCTTTCTTAGTTAAGCAATTGGAAGGGGCAGTCGTGATCGAGGCATGTCCTAGCTCCTAGATAGTGCACCACAGGGCTTAGTGAATTCGCAGCAACGAGGGTTTCCGCAGCAATGCGATAGTCGGGGCTCAGTTGCTCCGCAGCAATGCGATAACTAGCCGCCGCAATGTTGTAGTCAATATACGGGTGCAGTGACCGCAGCTTGAGAAAGCTGATCTTCAGACCAAATGTGGCAGGTGCGAATCATGGAATGCTTCTCTGTCGTGCCGCTGGCCACGCCGGCCAGTTTGGGTGGACCCTGTGCTGTGCTTGAACCTGTGAAACTCGAAACCCGAAGCCCTACGGTGCAAGCCCTAGACAGGAATCGATACGTGTCCCAAACCAAATACCCTTTATACTAACCCTTAGAGCCCGGTACTATATAAGGTCCCCTTGTAGCCTGACGGGTAAATATTGCCCTGCAGCCCGAGACCCGCAGTCTCACATCACTAAATGCCTGAAACGGCCCCAGCTCAGATGTAACTTTCGGGGCTTTGGGGCTTTGGAGAGGTTTCTTCCTGGATGGGTTCCAAGCTTGATCTCGATGTTGCCTGTCGTCCAGTTGATTTGTGATGGGCAGAAGAAGCCTCGTCATCCTGAGATCCTCAGCTCCTTGGGGCTCTCTAGGGTTGGTGGCAGGACAGTTGTGGGGTTACAGGGCGTGGATAGGGAGTTATTGTAGCTAGGGGTCTCAATTAAAGCATCATCGTTCTTCAGCGTGCGTTGAGACACGCCATGGAAGCAGAGCAAGAACGTCTGCTGCAACGATTGCGGGATGCAAGACAAGCCTCCCTCCAACCGACGCAGAAACACTGTGATCTACCTGGCGACCAGCAGGAGGGCGACGAAGAGCACGCGAGGACGTGCCTGAAAGGCCTATCATGCTACTGGATTGCACACAGCCATGTGCCTGGCTAGGGGCTTTTCAACTTCTATAATTGTGGACGGTCTCAGTTTATTTTCCCTTGTTAATCCAGGCGCTCGTTGCTATTTCGCGGCTGGTTTCCTGGGTGGCTTGCGGCGGGGCAGCAAGAAAGTCTGTCCCCTCTTGAAGCAGCATGCCTGGAGCGAGAAGTTCCAATTCAAGCATGCAGCTACAGGACCGGGCTTGCCTAAACGAAAAGAAAACCGTTCATCACAGAGCATGTTGTTCCAGGAGAGATGAAGACCTGGCTGACACAGCGTCCGGTTTCGTTCGCTGGCCCTTGGGCGTTTGGGTGCTGGCTCTGCAATTCCTTCAGTGGCAAGCCGCTCGCGCTGCAAGCAGCGCCCAATCATTCCTGTAAGTATATTGGGGTCTCGACAGCCATGTCCAGCAGCATCTAAGGTCCCAACAATCCTTCGCCAACTTGACTGTCACCAGCAAGGAGATGCTGCAGGTTTCAGTCTTGGCCGAACACGCAACGAGCCGGCATCACCTGAGGGCCTTGTCACAGGCGGAGGCCAGAACTGATGAAGCTGCTGCGTCATCCTGGGATTCTGCCACGCCGTCGCTGAATCGTTTCATGATGGCTGCCACCATAGTTGGCAGGCACGACAGCTTCGAGGATCGGTCATGTCGGTAGCCATATATTTACATTGTCGTATTGAAGGATAGACGTTGCAGTGGCATGAAACATCTTTTTTCTGCGCCTGACAGGACTTCCGCCAGTTCTGCAAATCCCAGGACCTGCAGAGCGACAACAGCAAACGCGTGTGCAGGCAAATTGTGACTTCCATGAGCACCGTGCTGTCAGAGCTCGACAGACAGGTTTTTCAGAAGGCCCGTACACCTGAAGTAACCTTAACACGTCCCAAGCCCTAAGCCTTAGCCGAAAATCTGATTTAACCCTGTCAGGCCAACATGGGCTGCTTGTGCTTGGATGAACGAGACGGGATCGTTCTTGTAAGGGGTCGCTTCTTTTACAGAGGCCGGCAAGCGACCTTGACATCACATTTGCAGACACTGCCTACGAATGCTCATTGCTTGGCAGGCTTGAAAGGCACCAGCCTCCCTGCCATGGGCGTCTACGAGTGCCTGGTGGGCATAGCTCGCGATTTCGGGCCCAGCCCCGTATCCTGGCTGTGATCTCGACCTCTTTTAGACCTCTATTCGACCTCTCTTCGACCTCTCTTGGCCCTCTCTTGGACCTCTCTTGCGACCTCTCTTCGACCTCTCTTCGACCTCTCTTCGACCTCGTCCTGTGAGACTCAAGCTGAGGACAATGTGAAAGCAGCTGTGGGTGCCGTGCTGAAACAGGCCGTCACAGTGAAGCGCGGCCTGCGTGAGAAGGACGGGCAATCTGGAGCACAAGATGCTGTGGACGGGGAGCTGCACAAACATCTGACGGACAAGGGTTGGAACAGCGTTTCATTGGATGATGGTTGAGTGTTGAACGGTGTTTCATTAATTGGATTGAAGTAGCAGAGTGTCTGTGATTTGCCCCCTGCAGAACATCATTACTTGTGCGGTCGCAGACGGGGGCCCGGCAGAGCAAACGGCCTTATCCAGAATGTCTGACTTGCTTCCTCGTCTTCAGCATGTTGTAGTCGACAGGGCACATCGCATGCGAAACTTGCAAAGGGGAGCATGGCCTTATTTGGATCAGCTCTCAGGTGGGCTTCTCCAGCGTCTGATAACAGGCGAGGCCAGTCTGGCTCGCATGTTGGAGGAGTCAGGCAAGTACCGAAATTTGTGGGCGGAATCGCAACAAAAGGAGTTCAGTCAAGCGCTCCGAAATTTCAGCTACGCCAAGCAGAGGTTCAACAGCCTGAGCACGCCGCTATTCAAGCTGCTGAGCAGCTTGAAATCAGTATATGCTTTCCTGGTACGCCTGGTTTCAGAAGGCGATCTTGACGACCGTCGGTTTGCAGAGACTTTGTTGACAGAGCTTTCTGGCCGAGATGCATTTCAGCACTTGGTAAATGCTGGTTTGGCGGCCGATTCGATGCTGATTGGCCAACGCTTCCTGCGATTGGCAGACACTGACAATGACGAGGCCTGCGTCACAGCGCAGCAGGCAGGAATTGGGTTAAAGTTGCACCTGCGCTGGCCCAGTCCATGCCAGGCTTATGAACACACACCCTGATTAATTGCCAGCAGCTATTATTTGCATACGCCTCCCATCAGGCAGCGGAAACGATCCACACAATGGAGTTCATGTTTGGCAAGGGTGGCATCTTCTTGGAGAGCGCAAAAGATACTGTTACACAAACCGTGATCCGAACCCTCAAGGATGTCGGTGTCATCACTTATCTTGGTAGCCGAACCACAGGCAGCCGAGGCCCTCGGCCACTGAGAGCGGTAGCTGTGTGGGACGATGGCGACCTCGAGGAGGAGTCACGAAGAGTGGCTGAGAAGGTATACAGAATCTTCAAGGCCTTTTTTGATTCAAACTTTCCGCGTTATGAATACGCCAATGCCTTTTCTGCCCTCGACCTGCAGAACTCTTTGTCGCTATGCCAGCGAGCCGAGCTGGTTCAGGCTCTGGCGCGGCAGAACAAACTGGATGGTGCGAAGACTTGGCGAAATGGCGCACTATTAAGAAGTTTTTTTTGGGGCAGCTTTAAATCTAAGTTTTTGCTTTTGCCATTTTGCAGTCCACATTTCCAGGAAGCAGCTGAGCGGCAGTGATGATGGAGTTGGTGCTGGCGGCCTGCTCGGCCGAGCTTTCTGGCATTTGAAGCAGCAGCGTCAGGGCTCCAACGATGCCTGGCTGACGACATTGCGAGAACTTCGCAAGGAGCAGGCGGCGCTGCGCTTGGAGGCATGTTGGCTGGTTCAGCACGCTTTGACGTTTCAGACGTCAACGGCGTCAGTGGAGCGTTCCCTTCATGAAGTGGCTGTCACAGAGCTCAAAAACCGAGCTCACCGATTGCAAGTTTATGGTCTCCAGGACGCTGTCAAACTGAACTTGCAATCTTTACATGGTCGTGCTGCCATCATGTCCGCTGACCGACTTCGGGATGGCAGGGATGCTCGTGGCAACTGGAAGCCTTCCAAGTTTGCTTTACAGGCGCAAGCCGTCTACAAAGAGTTTTTCGGTGCACGCGTAACTGAGCACCGAAAAAGCGGAGCTTCGGGATCGGACAAGCCACGCCTTGCTGGACTTCGTCGCGAGCATCCGGAATCTGCGCGGGCCAAGCTGGAGGCGCACTCGAGATGCATCTCGTCAACGGTGGCGTCCATGCAACAGGAAACTTTTCAAGATACGCCCGCGGCATCTTCAAGCAGTCGAAGGTTGGATGAGATTGTCACTGCTGTCAGCGAGGTAACTGCTGCCAGAAGTGGTGTTTCTTCAGCCGCATCTTCCCCTTGCCCTCCGAATCCGCCCGGCAGCAGTAGCAGCAGTGCACTAGTGACACCAGTGGAGACATGCAAGCAGGACGACAAGAAGGACAAGAAGAAGGCCAAAAAGGACAAAAAGGAAAAACGGAACAAAAAGGACAAGAAAGACAAGAAGCACAAGAAGAAGCACAACAAGCAGAAAAAAGAGAAAACGGACAAGAAGAATGCGACGGACCCCGCATCCTCACACAAGAAATCGCTGGAAGAGATAGAGGCTGAGCAGGACACGGTTGCAGCGAAGAAGCAGAAGGTGGCGATGGCCACTCCCTTGGGCGAGAAGGTGCCTCATGTCGACGTGCGCGGCGGAGTTTTCTTGCAGTCCGCCGACAAGCTGGAGTCGTGCAAGAAGAGTACCGAGCGGGCACCACCGTTGGGCAGCAAGGTCAAGGTGTTGATGGCGAATGGCGCCCTGCATAGTTCCTCCTACTTGTTTTTCACTGCAACCGCCCTAACAATAGGAAACCCTCCAAGTGTATTCAACGAAGGACTTTCCTGGCCCGAGAAACCGGCGGCGAGGTTTCAGCAGACCACAGACTGGTGGGAGGCGAAGCTCGTGGTGTTCCCCGAGTTGGCGCCTGGATTGGAAACGCCTGAGGCACTTGTAGCTCGCATGCGAGGTATCCGGATTGCGGATAGACAGTGGTTGATTTCCAATGGCCTGGAAGGATCTTCAATCTCTTTTCAGGCTGCAGCTTACATGCACTTTCATGTCTGGTTGACTTCCGAGTTTGAGGCGGCATGGCCCAGGCACTCAGCTGTGTTGTCCGCCTTCGCTGAGCGAAGCAGTGTCAAGTCCAAGCGAGGCCATTTACATGTTTACAAGGGGTCAATGCCTGAGAATCCCGAGTTTCCACGTCTTAGCTATGAAGCTGTGGTGCAATCAGCCGCCGCATTGAACCCTCAGCAGCTAACGCTGCAAGGGCTGCTTACGAAGCTCTCTGCCGTGCACAGTGATTGATGCCTCGTGGGTTTTCAAGAGCCTAATGTATACAAAACCCTTAATCCTACCCGCGCATCAAGAACTGATTCCTTGGGAGCTAGGTCTGAGTCCGGTGAAAGGAAAATTGAGGGTCCGATGCGAGTGGTGCCGTAGAACAAAAACCCTAAGCCATAAACCCTAAAACCCCTCAACCTTTGCCCTGCCAGGTTGGACCACCGTGGCCGCGCGTGGGCGGCAGCAGCTTCCACCCTAATCCTACAACCCTAACTGTATACACAAGTCACTAAATTGTTAAACAGTGCATCCGGCGGTGGCTGGGTTATATAGCAGAAATGTCGCAAAAAAGTTCTTTTTTGCTAGGTTTCCGAGAGCCGTGAAGCAGCAGTACAGCAAGCGCCAGCAGTACAAGTGGCAAAGCGCTTGCTTGCTTCTCCGGCACTCAGACTCTTTGAGGGGCCTTTTGTACTGCCAAGGGTGCTTCTGAACAAGCTGACTTGATGCTGCACTCGACACCGCAAGTTTGTGCGCCACCGAAGGATGACCTTGTTCGCTCCCAGGAAGCTTCGTCAAGCTATCTAGGCCATCGTTCTATGATGCCGATGGACTTGCTTGTTTGAAGTGCCTTCAGGTTGCCATGAGTTGCCAGATCTGCATGCAACACTTACTGATCAGTGGACCACCGCTGCAAGACGTGGCGGCAGCGCGTCAAGCTCCATGTTATTCGTCGTGAGTGTTGCAGTGGCCTCGCCGCTTCAATGGACCAGAATGTTCCTGTTATGAAGCCAGCTACCTTCCGCTGTCGATCCCGACCCGAAGTGCTAGGCCTTTGTTTGTGTGCAACGGTCCAGGTTTCCGGCCCCCCCGCGATGGCAACTTGTCATGGGGTGTTTGTTGATCCGTGGACGTCAGTGCAGCCAGCAATGCATCCAGCTTTTGCCACGCCGATAAGGCAGCTCACTTCTAGTGCCTCCTACGTGTCTCGTGAGATGTCAAGAGGTCTGTTGGCCAAATGTCCTTCGAAGAAATCAACTTAAAGCAGCGCGCTTCCTATCGTTCGACAATGCTTGCCAGTTCATGTTCATAGCATGGCTTGCCGGCTGCAGAGCGTCACTTCTTTGACTCTTCTTTGTCAAACGCGGGAGGTCCCATTTCAGAGGCGTATCAAGTGCCAGTCGTAACGCTACCTTCCGCATCCTTCCGCCGTCGATCCCGACCCGAAGTGCGAGGACTTTGTTTGATTGCAATGGTCCAGGTTTCCGGCTGCCTTGAGTTGGCAACTTGTCATGGAGTATTTGTTGATCCGTGGGCGTCAGTGCAGGCAGCAACGCATCCCGCATTGGCAATCCGCTGGTGAAGCCGCCTAGAGCCTCCTCCATGCCTTGTGAGACGCCAAGGTGTCTTGAGAGAGCCTCCAGGCCTGTCGTGTCTCTTGAGATTGGTTGCCACTTGAAGTGCTCTGAACAGGGCTTCGCCGTCGCCAAACTGCGCGCGCGACGTGTGCTCACGGAAACCAGCTTTGTGATTTGCTTGCCCATTCCCATGTGCCAACCCAGTCGGCTTAGTGTGTCCCTGCGCGAATTTGGAAATGCACGTGTTCGCTTCCGGTGCTTTCAAGTCGACGTAGCATTGTTTGCCAGGTTTTAGACACATATCTTCAGCAACATGCCCATTCTGTTGCAACACAGTCGACGCGTGAGTCGCGTGCCAAGGCGTGCGCCTGTTCGCGTCGGTTGGCAATGTTTCCTCCTCACTTCCACAACAAGCACGCTTTGTGGTTGAGAGGTGCTGAGGGGCAGCTCTCTGTCAACTTGCCCTGAGCCGAGCATGCTTCAGGGCGTTCCTGTGGGACAGCGACAGCTCATAGCTGCCACAGCCGGCTCTCCCTAAACCCTAAACCCTAAACCCTGAACTCCAAACCGGCTTCTCCGAGTTGAGATGCTGCAGGGCTGATCTGCCATGGCCCCAGCCTTTACTCTTGTAAAGAGCTGAAGGGCTGCGCAAGGCTGCGTGGAATGCTGATCGCGGCAGATTTAGGGAGGCCAGCGTCGTTCTGAGAGGGCAGCCGCCCGGTCTAAAGCTTGGAATGTCTCAGATCTGGAATCCGATCTCGGACCTCGAGATTTCGAGGTCCTCTCCGACGACCTGTCTTTGGAGCTTCAAGACCTCATGCCAGGCTTCCAGTGGGCAAACCAACTTGACGGCAATCTGCGCCCAAACGGCCCTAACCTGCACTCTGCTTCCCAACTGCAGCTCCGTGCGTGCGTCGCCTGAGATGACAGGGCGCTAAGCAGGTGGCCTGCGCTGGCCTTCGCACTGAAGGTCTGAGTGGCCTGGGCTGCGCATGCAGCAGAGTCCCCAAGACTGCGCTGGTCTTGAGGGGCAGAAGAAGCTGAGCGAAGTGGCTCGGAAGTTGCCACTCCTTCCTCGAAAATGATTGTCAAGGAGGCTACATGATTGCGATATACCACAATATATTGCCATCCCGCAGAAATGATTGCCAGGGCCACATGGTGTGCGTTCCAACGATGGCTATAGAATGATTGCCGTTCTGCTGCTGTGTGCTCAAGGACATGATGGCGACGGGGGAGCGGTAAACATTCTGAGTGAGACATAGTCCTGAGGTTAGGACTCCATGCTCACGGACGCGGACGGTCATCGTACACGGAGAAGCAGAAGGTTCGATGAGTTCAAGACCTTCGCGGGCCAGGGTCCAGGCGCTTTGACGTTTTTTGTGGTCTCTCCAAGTCACATGCTACATGCCACTCATTCTCGCGGACAGGTTCTAGGTTCTCAGATTCTCGATTCTTTGGCTAGTTTGACAAACATGTGCAGTAGTAGCATGGAGAGGGAACGCAAAGTCTAGAAACTCGTGATCAGCCAGAGATTAGCTGGCAGAATTCGAGCCAAGTTTCCTTGCTGTCTTTCAGTTTTCACACATTTGCCGTGCTCATCACACAGGCTTGTTTTGTAACCTGGCCGGGCGGGGTCATATATTGATCTTCTAGTCCGTCTTGCTCGTGAGTTGACTTGACCAGGTGGCGGCTGCCCTGCTTCGAGGTGATGAGCTCCCTGCAAGCAACCGCAGAGTCATCACTTGAGAGCGGCCGAGTCTTGTGGCACAAGTCCACAACGCAGCATCATGACGCTTAGAACTGCCCCTTATAAAGGGCCCCCTCTCGGTCTTAGCCAAGTGCTTCAGGTATCCCTTTGCTCCTCAGCAGAAAAGCTGCACAGTGCGGACTGCAAGCCAAGTGCTCTGCTTCTTTCTGCCAAGCAAGATTTTGTCGAGCTGTCATGGTACCGCCCCTTTCCTTGCTCGTTGTTGCTTTCTTCGACTGCGGACGGGAGGCCCAGGACAGAGGTCCAGCTCCGTCTCGACTGGGTGCTTCAGAATTCCCGAGATATAGAGGATCCATACTATATGTATACACACACATGATCACACAGGCTTCTTGTAGCCCTAAACCCTAAACCCTAAACCCTAAACCCTAAACCCTAAACCCTAAACCCTAAACCCTAAACCCTAAACCCTAAACCCTAAACCCTAAACCCTAGAAAGTTCTCCGCCATGGCCCGGGCCCGCCACTTGCTCTGGGCGAGCTGCGTACTGGGGGCCAGCGGAGGTGCTGGGCACGAAGGGTTTGGGGTTTAGGGTTTAGGGTTTAGGGTTTAGGGTTTAGGGTTTGGGGTTCAGGGTTGAGGGTTTAGGGTTGAGGGTTTAGGGTTTAGGGTTTAGGTGGGGGGTGGCAGGGAATAAAAGCCACTCGTTTGTATGGGGTTAAGGGTTTGTGGGGTTCGGGTCCCGGGTTTAGGGTTTGGAGTTTTGCTGGTTATGGGGTTCGGGTTTGGTTTTGAGCAGTTTTGAGGGTTACATCGTGTTGAGGGTTTATGGGGTGAGAGGTTTTGTCGAGCAGTTTTGGGGTCAGAAAGGGATTAGGAGGTCTGGGGTTCTGGGGTGTCTGCTGGCATGTTCTTTTGCGATGATTTTTGCGCTAGAGCCCTTGTTTGCTTTGACTGTCCTGAGCCCCTTTGAATCCTTTCAAGCCATGCCTTGTTTCAACACTTATGTAAACCCGAAACCCTAAACCCTAAACCCAGATGCTGGTACCTGCGAAGCGTCCGACACGGCTGTACTCTTCGGCCAGCCGGAACAGCGCGATGATGCCGCTGGGCTTGTTTAGGGTTCTTGCTGGCTTGCTGGGGGTATTTGGGACTCGATTTCTACGCTTCACAGGGTAAACCCTAGACCCTAGACCCTAGACCCTAGACCCTAAACCCTAAACCCTAAACCCTAAATAAACCTTGGCGAGGTTTAGAGCTTAGGGAGTCTAAATAGGGCTTGGGGGGGGGGGGGTAACCAAGGCATGAAGCTGGCCAGAAGAAGCCCTAAACCCCTGGACCCTGCACCCAAAAGTCCAGAGACAGTTCGGATTTAAGAGTTTAAGGTTTAGGGTTTAAGGCTTAGGGTTTAATGTTTTGGGTTTAAGGTTTAGGGCTTAGGGTTTAAGGCTTAGGGTTTAATGTTTTGGGTTTAAGGTTTAGGGTTCTCCTCCCCCAAAAAAGTTTAGGGTTGGTTTGGGTTTTAGGGAGGTTAGGGTGAGTGAGGGTAAGTCATTCTAGCTACGGGGGGTCTTTTCCCCTGAAGCCGAAATTCCGACTCTCTTGGCCTTACACCCTAACTCCGAGACCCTAAAGCCAAGACCCTCTGAACCCCTAAACTCCTAAACTTCTACCTGGGACTCTAATTACCTACAGTTTAGTAGGAACTACCTAGGTAGAACCCATAACACTGTAGGTAAATAGCGTCCCAGGCAAAGCCGAAAACCCACGCCTTAAACCCCAAAACCCCTAAACTCCTAGAACCCGCACCCTAAACCCTAAACCCTAAACCCCTAAACTCCTAGAACCCG